TCGACCAAGGTGGAGTAAACGGTTCGCATGAAGACCTCCAAATCGATGGCAAGATGGACTGAAGAAGCTCTCTGGATCAAGATGGATAGATATAGCAGAAGCCAGAAATTTATGGCAAAGACTGAGAGACTTCTTCACAAGCAGTACATCAGTCAGAGCTGCTAATGATGATTATCCATTTCAAGAATTTATTTATGAACTTAAATTTGAAGTAAATAATTTCTAAGACTCATGCCGATACAATTCCACAGATGACTCAAAAGTCATAGATCTTCTAATTCAATGGTTGGTAGCAGAAAAAGCAGTTTCCTGCTACAACTATGGAACCAGAAGACTTATAACCTTCAATTTGAACTGTTGGTTCTTTGTGAAGTTTCCTCCAGGTATCTACAGCCGATCTTCTTCCTTATGTACTTCAGCACCTCAAATATAGCTGCACTAAAGAGGGTGATCATCGTTCCCATTCTCACTGCATGAGCATTTCATTGTTTAAGCAGCCTCCCAAAATTTCTTGGTCACTCAAATGCAGATTTAGGATTTTCCATCGTTTATATATCGCCTTTAAGATGGAGGTATTTCAAGACTGATTGATCCAGCAGACAAAGAGGTATTGCACCAAGAAACAGAACCAGTACATGATTTATGGTCCATGAAACCGGTTCAAACGTCAGTATTCAGTACAGTTGCCCAATCTGCATGTGCTGTTTTATCCGAGTCCAGAAATCAAACCGATGTGCTTAATTGCGTCGTTGTCTGTTACACTTTTCGTACGACGGCATTTCACAGCCTTCCTAACCCACCCTTGAGGCATGTTGCAAACTATCGTTTTTGCTACATAAGCCAATATGAGTGTTTACAGTTATAGAGGTAAAGATTACCCGAATTTTACATGAGGGATCTGCAACTTCGCCTTAAGGCATGAATTAATGAAAATATGCTACGCACCTTATTTCATGGATTAAATACAAATAAACTATTTCCGGTTACCTACCTCGAAGACTGACTAATGATCTGTTGCTACATCGAAGCAGAAATCGTGCTAGCACGTTGCTTAACACGTGTAACGCTTGGCGAGAAATTGCCCCATTCATTCAATCAGTGGCTGGTCGCAGTTTGACGTAATGCAAATGGATACTCGTTCAGACGTACATTAAATAGTTACGAATCTCCAGTTCACCTCTGAGAGTTGTTCGAACTCCATTTTATCGATTGTCCATTCAAGTTCTGCAGTAAGGTCTTCTGGACGTTGGAGTGTTGATTAACTACGCTGTATTATCGGTGATGGCAGAGTTTGTTGACTAGTTGCTATGGCGATGCTGTGACCACGCAGACCTCGGGAGGAATCGCTGACTAGCTCACAGTCGAAGTATACCTCAACAAACTCAACAAACTGCAGTCTGTAACAGAATGCGGCACAGGTATGGCATATTCTTACTGAGCATAAACCCTCCTTTACAGCTGCGAACCTTTCATGTAGTAACTGACTGAAACAAGGGAGACATCGACAACAATCGGCTGGCATACGGCGCGGATGAGTGGACAAGAAGCAGATGATCATTTTAAAAGGAATCGCTTTTGATGCAATGATTTACCGTAGCTTATAGGAGCAGTTTTTAAAAACGGAAAATTTTGGGAACGTCACAAACAGACACGTTCTTTAGATGTGAACGGCCCAATCTGATGATTACAGCAAACAACAACAGTAATGTTTCTGGAGCTGCAGTCTGTATTTTCGTGAAACATAAATAATGTACGAGTCCATATTTTGGCTCCTTCATTTTACGCGCTGCTATATATTTATTGCATATTTGCATGAGCCTGAAAATTAACCACCTAATTGTTTCTATTTTTGTTTGTTTAAATGTATGAAATGATAGGTGAAATATTCATTAAAACCAGACACACACCAGTGAATTCTGCTTCGCAAATTTTGGTATATGGTTAGTTTGATACGTAGGATAAGCAGAGGGACAACGAGGGCATTTGCCATAACAACGAGCGCTTGCTTAGCCTCTCCACCGGTACCTCACTGCC